GTGGGATTTGAACCCTAGACCTGCTACTTGGAGAGGGTGACAACTTGACCACTTCACTAAGCTGCCACACCTCTATTTCGGAAAAATTATAATTATATGATAATGATATAATTATTATAATTATAATATGATGATATCGTGATTATGAATAATTGATTATATTTAAAAAAACATAATTATGATTATATTGAGATATTAAAGATATAGAAATTATTAAAATTATATTATGATAATTATAATCAATTGATTAAATAGTTAAATAATCAATTTTGTTATTATAATTATTTACAATTATTTACAATTTTATTATTATGATTATGATTATAAAATGGTAATTAAATCACAGTGATAATACTTATGTAGCGTAATTGACATTGTTTACTATAAATAAATTATCAGTGTGACAATTGATACCTTTAATATACCAAAAAAAAAAAATAACATACTACAAAATTAAAAAATTAAATTGTGACATTTATTATACAGATGCTAAAAATGACTATAAATGGTATAACGGAAAATTAAATTACGACATTTATTATGCAGATACCAGAAATGATAAATATGAAAATTTTGATAACAATATTATTCGAGTAAAAACCTGTAAATAACATAAATAAAACTAAATTACAAAATTATGACGTTTTAATCAACAAATTCTATACTGACTTAATATTAATTATTAAATAAAGAGAAAACACGTGATAAAATTAGCAAAAATAATTCAAAAACATATATATATATATATATAACCATAAGACATTACACTAGCACGTATTGACATACATAAAATTATAAATTTGCATAATTTCAATCAAAATTTATTGATTTGTTAACATTCAGATGATATAGATAAAATTAAATAACAAATAAAACATAAAACTTACCAAAAACAGTTGTTAAAAATACAAATAAAATTACAAAAATTGCATAATAACAACAATTAAGACAAAACAGATTAATAGGGAAAAAAAAACCCTTAAATTATTCAACATATTAAATAAAAATAATAATATATAAAAAAATATATATATATAAATACCATGAATTCAGAAATGAAAAAAAAAATAAAAAAATAAAAAAAAAGAATATATATAAAAAATATATAAGAAAATAAATATCCAAATAAAAACAAACTTCGATTTTATAAATTTTTATTAAATTAGTTTGACTTAAAATGCCACTACTTCGAAACCTTCACCCACGAACACAGAAAAAATGTAAAGCAGCAAACGTATTTTCAACTAAAAGGTATAAAAAAATACAAATTTCAGCTAAAAATGAACATGATTATAATATTGGTTATAATTTTTGCGAAAAAACTTCTTTTAGATGCCATATTTACAAAAACACATATAGATGCACCTATTGTTATGCTATACTTTTTTCCTACTGAAACTCAAGAAATGTGTTGTAGTTCAGGGAAAATTAAGTAAATTCAAATTAGTAACAAAAATAAAAAATAAAAAAAACATAAACATTATGCAATATATAATAATTAACTTGAAATTCATATAAATAGACTAATGTTAGCAGATGACAATATACCTTTAAAAGAACTAATAATCAAATATGATAAAATAAGAAGAGATTTTCGTAAAAACATTAGAGCTTATAACAGTGCTTTTGTATTTACTTCAATGGGTGTCAAATTAGACAAAAAACTTGCAAATGGCAAAAAAAAAAAAAATCAGCTCAAGTAATTTATTTAATAACAAAATATACTAATTAAAAAAAAAAAAGTAAGAATGGTATTTATATGTATTAAGTACAAGACGGGATCTATTATTTAATAGAATTACTCATACCTGTTAATGGAACCCCAAAATTCCTTTATTTATATATTTATGACACCGAATTCAAAACAAACAACAGACTTAATATCATGTCACGACTTCGACAAGATACTTTAGAATTTATAAAAGGATTACTGAACCAATTAAATCCTTTTATAGCAAATTTTCGTTTAATATCCACTTATAGCAATATAACAGACCTTATACTCTGTATCAAAGCAGATAATGGCCTAGACCAGTGAACTTATAATATGCCAACAGCTTCACAAGTCGCTGCTATATGGATCGAAGGCAATAATCCTGAGAATCATGCCAAATGAGACATAATTATACAAACACAAAATTTACAAAGAGTATCAGAATTGAATGGATCATATGATTCAATGCAATATCTCTTCTATTCTCCTGTGGTGATTACGAATGGCATCCTGAAATATTACAAAACACAACACAAAAAAAAGTTACTGCTAAACAGTACTATTCCTATAAATTACATTTTCAAGAACCCACCTCTTCATTATTATTTTATGGTGGTAGACTATTTCAACAGTATATAGTAGATAACTATGTAAAAATCGAATCTACATGTCTTAATTACCTACGTTATAATCAAAATAAAATCCGCCAAGAACACTATCAAGGCTTGCAAGATTCTTTTCAATTAGGAATAGTTAATATATCTGATATAGGACAAAGAATTATTTTACCTTCAACTTTCATAGGTGGATTTCGCAACATGTATCAAAGATATCAAGATGTGATGGCTTTGGTCTAAACCTATAGAAAGCCAAACTTATTTATCACGATGACATGTAACTCTTGGTGTGACAAGATAAAATCAAACCTATTATCAAAACAAACTCCACAGAACAGACCAGATCTTACAGGTAAAAACTAACTTATATAAAATTATTATTACTTGCTTCAAAATTTTTTTTATTTATATTTATAATTATTTCTTTATTTAAATTTGTCTCAATTCGCTAATTAAATACTTTTGTTAAATAAAACTATATATAATAAATAATAACAATATTTTAAATATATATAATTTTCTGTTTAAAAATTTCTATTATTGTAAATTATATTAATAATAATATACTATATAATTCATTATTAAAAATTTATATTTTTGTTTTAAAGCTCGAATTTTTCGCGAAAAATTAAATGAATTAAAAAAAGATATCTTTAAGCAAAATGTTCTTGAAAAAGTAATCGCACACATATATGTAGTAGAGTTCCAAAAGTGTAGTCTTCTACATGCTCATCTATTATTAATTTTTCACCCAGACGACAAACTTCACAGAGCAGATGACTATGACGCAATCGTGAATGCTGAAATACCCAATCTGATAGAACAGCTAAGATTATATCAAACAGTAATCACATTTATGATCCATAGACTATGTGGATCTTTTAATAAAAACACACTGTGTATGAAAGAAAACAGATATACCAAAAATTATCCAAAAGAATTCAACGATAAAACAAAAGAAGGAAATGACTCTTACCCATTATATAGATGATGAAATAACAGAAGACATATACTGATAAACAGCGACATTATAGATAATCGTTGGATAGTTCCATACAATCCCTACTTTTCTTTTAAATTCAATTGTTACATTAATGTAGAAGTGTACTCAAACATTAAATCCGTAAAGTATTTATATAAATATGTATACAAAGATCACGACCGTGTAGCAATACAAGTGAAAAATAATAATAATAAAATTAATCAGTACCTAGATACACAATAGGTCTCCTCTTCTAAATCGTGTTGTAGAATCTTTGGATTTGAACTTTCAAATATCACACCACCAATACAACGCTTACAACTCCATCTTCCTGACCAACATAACATAACATATTCAGAAATATCAAATATAAATGATATACTTAATAATGAAAAAAATAAAAAAACTATGCTTACAGAATACTTTAAAATGAATAAAATTGACCCACAAGCTCGCAATTACTTATATAGAGAATTCCCGAAACATTATGTTTGGAATAAAACAGCAAAAAAATAGACAAAATGTAACCAAGGTGAAATGAACAGAAAAATTTATACTGCTAATCTAAGAGAAGAAGAACGTTATTATCTACAAGTACTACTAAACAATATCAAAAGAGCAAAATCATTTACTAACTTAAGAATAGTTAATAACTGTTTATATCCGATATTCAAAGAAAGTGCCTTGAAAAGAAAACTTATAGAAAGTGAAACTATGTATGATGAAACAATAAAAAAAGCAACTTAATTTCAAATACTCTCTGCGCTTCGACAACTTTTTGCTACGATACTAATATTTGAAAAACCAACTGATACTAGAACTCTATGGAACAATAATTTTGAAGCAATATCAGAAGATCTAGCAAAAAAAAAAATTCCAAATAATTATTTTAAATAAAATATCATCTAGAACAACATTATAGATCTCTATGTGAATTTGATCTACCACCACTTACGTCAACTGACGAAAATCTAAGTGAATTACCAAGATTACTACTTACTGAATTAAACATAAAAGTAACAAATGAAGACCTATCAAAAATCGAAAAGCTAAACGAAAATTAAAAATTAATATTCAATATTGTAATTGAATGTATTGAAAAAAATTAAGCTGCCGCAATATTTGTCGATGGACCAGCAGGTAATATATAAATAAATATATAAAAAATATAAATTTAAACAATTAACAAAAAAAAAAAAAAATCTTATACCAATAATAAAGCTAGAAAAAATTAAAAAAAAAAAAAAACTAAAAATATTAATAAATAATACTTAACTGATAATCAGTATAAAAAACTAATTAATATTAATATATACAAATACTACAAAAAAAAAAAATTTTCATTCAACAATAACTAATTTTATAACATAACTTAACAGGCTCTAGAAAAACATTTCTATATCTTTGCCTACTAGCCGTAATCCATTCGACCTACTTAATAGCCCTCGCAACTGCATTATTTAGAATAGCAGCCCTAATAATGCCTGGAGGCCGCATTGCACACTCTAGGTTTAAAATCTCTTTAGACATTGGCCCAAATTCGACTTGCTCAATAAGCAAACAGAGTCAATTGGCTAATTTGCTAAAATTAGCTAAACTAATTATTTGGGATGAAATTTCAATGATGAACTGTTATTCAATAGAAGCTTTAAATAAAACACTAAAAGATATAATGGAATATGACCAACCATTTGGTGGAAAAGTTATTGTATTTGGTAGAGATTTCTGACAGATTTTATCTGTAATCCCAGGAGGAAGCTGCACCCAAATCGTAAACGCAACTTTAAAATTCTCTTCATTATGATCCAAAATAGAAATATACTATCTTCACCAAAATATGTGGATGGAAAATGACTTTGAGTCAAATGACTTTAAAAAATTCTTACTAAGAATAGGCAACAGAACAAAACAAACTATAAATAATAACATGATCCAAATTCCTGATAATATGGTAATAAAATGGCAAAACGAAGAATCTTTACAAGTTCTTATAAGAACAATCTATCCATTCCTACAAACCGGTTTTTATAATACCAATTACTTCACCGATAAAGTCATACTTACAACTAAAAACGAATACGTCGACCATATAAACAACACAATACATGACTACCTTCTAGATGATTATATAACATATCGAAGTTTTGATCATGTTCCTGATAATAATCATAACCTTTAACAGCAAGAGTTTCTCAACTCAATAACAATCAGCGACATCCCACCACATAAACTAGTATTAAAAATTAATGCCCCGTTATATGTCTTCGCAACCTTAATCCACTCGATGGTCTATGCAATGGCACAAGGCTAATATGTCAAAAATTCAGTGCCAATATAATTGAAGCCAAAATAGCTATAGGCAGTCATAAAGACAAACAAGTATTCCTTCCCCGCATAATTTTTACTCTGCCAAATAATATTAAACTTCCATTTACATTAAAAAGAAACCAGTTTTCTATAAAACTTGCTTTCGCCTTAACAATTAACAAATCTCAGGGCCAGACAATTCCAAACGTAGGTTTCTACCTATCTGAACATGTGTTTACATATGGTCAACTCTATGCCACCTTTTTGAGAGCACAGTATTACCAAAACATCAAAGTATTAGTAAAAATAGTAATATAGAAGGAAAACAAAGCGTTTACACATGAAACGTTGTATATAGAGAAATCTTAACCAACTAAACTATATATATAGTTATATAAACATTCAATAAAACTAACAAATTATTAAAAAAACAAATAAAATTTATCACAGAAACTTAAACAAATAATATAAATTGAAACAAATAAAATATATAAATTTCAACTTTACTAAAAATATTTTAAAATAAAAAAATATATCAACATATATTAACATAAAAAATAATAATAATAATAATAACAACTAATAACAGTTCATAAAAATAAACAGCTACGCAAAAATAAAAATAAAAAAAAATAAAAAAAATTAAACTTTTCCATAACCAGAACCATATAAGCTCAAATTACTATGTAAAGATCTTCTTACAGGTCCTTTTCCTTTATTACGAGAACCTCTATTTTTATCCACACTATCTTTACTAGATTTCTCCACTTCATCTTGATTATAGTCAGATAAAACATTATCACCTTCACTAAAATAATTATTATCAATATCCACAAAACCATCGTCAAAAGACCCATTGAAATCATCAGTCCTTGCATGCTTCAACGAATCAAAACAATCTGCAGAATTTAAATTGGAACCACTAGAACCACCCTAACTTTCATTATCAAACTTTTCTTCAGAATCTCCAACGATATTCTGATAAGTAACTAATAACTTAGAACGAATCGAACTTTTACATGCCACAGAATCATGAGACACATCTCCATCAAGATATCTTTTCTTACTACTAAATCGCATATTAATGTAATTAATAGCCTTGGCATATACATAAAATTCATTTTCAATTATTTCTAGTTGCCCAACTACAAAAACCAAAGATTCCTAAGGATAAATAAAATCCTTTAAACGTATTAAACGCGAATTATACCAAGAAAAAACAATTTTCATAATAAAATTATGTTCTTGGCCTGAAAAATCAGAAACTAATATTTTAAAAATCGCATCATCTTTAACTTCGTTTGGCTTTTCTTGAGGAATTCCAACAAGAAAAACCTTTAAAGGACATTTATTGGATTCAGAGACCTTATTAAAAATAGCCAAATGCATAGAAATTAAAACTATCATCTAATTACAAAATCAAAATGAACACAAATATAAATAAATAAATAAAACAACTTAAAAACAAACAAATAAAAATATTAAAAAAAAAATTAAAAAAAAAAAATATATACAAAAACCTTTGCTCTTTTATTACTGCCATAAAACCCAGAGACAATCTTACCTCCTACACAGAAAAAATTATCCTTTTCACAAACCGCTTGTGTCTTATAATCTCTTTCCTCCAAATTTAAAGGAACAAATAATTACTTTTTAATATCATAATCTTCTTGCTTCACAGGATAAGCACCAAGAGCCCAAACCACCAATGAATTTATCTTTTTATTCTCATGAAAACTAACATATTTAATCCTCACAATCGTATCAGCATAGCATGGCATCATAAACCCAAAATAACAAACAAAAACAATTACAAATTTACACTTACAAAAAAAAGAACAAACTTATATACCCATAAAAAATAAATTATGTCATAAATCTCTAACTACAAAAATTCTTTAATTCATCAAAACAACATCAACAATTCATACAACATACAAAAAAAAAAAAGCATATGATAATAAATCGACAATTATATCATTCTGACAATACAGACAAAATAATTCCAAATAACAAAAAAAAAATAAAAATAAAAATAAAAAATACACCATAAAACAAACCAATCTAACCTTATTTATATCACAAATAAAAATAAAAAAATTGACTAACAAAAATTAAATAAACTAACCATCTAACATTCAATTAAAAAAAAAAAAAAACCTAGCCGAAAATATATGTAAAAACATAACTAAAAAAAAACTATACAGTTTTACATAATATATAAAACCAATTATTCCAAATAAGCAAATATGACATATGAAATCACTACAAACACACACATATAAAAAAAAAAAAAACTATTCACTTAACCACACACATAAAACCATACAAAAACCAAAACATACCAACATACAAAAAGCTCAACAACACCACTGAAATGAACCACAAAAAATTAATTAACTCAAAATAAATCATCTAAAACAACAAAATATAACAAATCAAAAAAAAAAAAAAACATTAATAATAAACTAAACAAGACTATAAAAAAAATGTCACCAGACACAACATTTCATATGAATTCAAACTTACTGAAACCAAATAATTAAATTACTAACATACACGCATATACACATATAACGATAATAAATACGTATACTACAAAACATAACTATAATATATATTTCATATTATAAATCTAATATTCAAAAGATTATCAAAACAATATAATAAATAAGCACAAAATCATATAAAACAACACATGCCTACAAAAACTCCAATCTATAAAATACCATGCCTTACTATAATTTACCATGATAAAGTCACAGGCAAAGAGCTAGTTAATTTTAAATCAATTTTAAATTATAATACTAATTAATTTAATTTAATTTTTATAGAAAATTCCTGGTTTAATTTCATTTACTATAGATTGTTGGACTAGTAAAAATCAATTGCCTTTTTTTGGAATTTCTATTTATTGGATTAGCAATGAATAGACTTTACAATCAATTGTTTTAGATTTTTGTTACTTACCTGGTTCACATACTGGGAAAAATTTAGCTGCAAAATTTTTGGAAGTTTTAAATAACTTTTATATTAGCAATAAGGTAAAATATTAATTTTTTTTAATTATTTAAATTTTAAAAATTATTAAATTCTATTTTTTTTTTTTTTAGTTATTAGCAATTATATGTGATAATGCAGCTAATAATGATAAAATGCTTAAATATGTTGAAGATGAATTAAATAATCAAAATATAAATTTTGATTTAAATAATTAACATGTGAGATGCCTTGCTCACATAATTAATTTAGCAGCAAAAAAAGCTATTGAACAACTTTATATCAAACATAATTTAAATACTGATAATGAAATTTTAAAAGATAAAGATACAAATAAATTAAATAATATAATTTTTAGAGTAAGTTTATTTTATTATTATTATTTATATATTAATTTAATTTCTAATATTTATTAATATATTTAGTTAAAAAAATTTATTATTAAAATATGAGCATTACTACAACGATGTCAAAATTTTAGTTAACAATGTATTAATATTGAACTTGAACCATTACAACTCATTTCTGATAATAATACTTGCTGGAATTCAACAAATATAATGATTGAGAGAGCATTAAAACTTAAACAGATAATAATTTTTATTATAAAAATAATATATTAAATAAATTTTTTATTTTATTTATTAAATTAATTAATATAATTATATTTTAATAATTTAG